TAAGTTCCATAGGAGCACGAATCTTTGTCTTTTGTTGACTGATATACCCCCAAGGGCCTAACACTGTGCCTGGCACATAGTAGGTGCTTAATAAATATTTGAATGAATCTTAGTAATTTCCATTCACATTTCACCTAAGTTTTGAAATTTATTGACAAGTTATTCATATATTACATTAATTTTAAAAAATTTTATTTAGTTGTTAATTTTTAAAACCTCTACTGAACCTACAGTTATGCCCCCTTTTTTCTTAATATTGTTTATCTGTGTGTTTTCTCTTTTTTTCTTGTTTAATCCTGCTAGTGATTTGTCTATTTTATTATTTCAAGGAAACAGTTTACACCCAGTCTCTTATACCTAGTAGACACTCAATTTTTTTTTTTTTAATGAATGAAATAATGGTTGAACGGTAAACCCCAAAGAACAGATGTCCTCAAGTCACAGCAATTTTTTTCTGACACTGGGGTCTCTGAAAAAAAGAGTAAGAGCAACACATTCTCTGCTCTTCAACCCTGCTGGTTTGACCTACGCGGGGTAAGATCACGATGCCTGCTGCTCTTCTACAACTGATCCTACTGCTATGTTTCTCTCTAATTAGTCCTCTAAGCGCCACCCTCTCTGCCAAAAAGTCTAAGTTTAAATCAGGTGTTGGCAAACTTTCTGTAAAGAGGCAGATAACAAGCATTTCAGACTTTATGGGCAACGTATAGTGTCTGTCATATATTCTTGGTTTCTTTTTCCAACCCTTTAACTCGCTGCCGTCAAGTCAATTCTATCGCACAGCAACCCTGAAGGACAGCGTAGAAGTGCCCCATAGGGTTTCTAAGGCTGTAATCTTTATGGGAGCAGACTGCCACATCTTTCTCCCCTTACACAACCCTTTAAAAATGTAAAATCCATTCTTAGCTCGCTGGCCATACAAAAACAGGCACTTAGCCTACGGGCTGTAGCCTGTCAGAGCACTTGCTTTGGATAACCGTCTCCAACTGAACCACCCAACAGCCTCCAACATCGTCCCTTTCCATCTCAGTGCACTCCCTATGATATGTCGGACCCCGTGGCAGGCACTGTATACACTTCAACTCAACACAACCACAACCATCAGACATGTGTATCAGTTGACTTTATCTCATTTGAAGACCCTGCTCCTTAAAGGGCACACTGCTGCCAGAGTTGTCTTTCTGGAAGCTCAATAATATAGCACGCCCTTGTTCAAACACCTTTAACGGCTCCCTACCCTACAGGAAAATGTCCAAACTCCTTAGCCCGGCATTCAAGGCTCTTCTGCACCTTTCCTGCACGTCAGCGTTTCTTTCCTCTCCTCAAAACCTACGTGCACATCCCGCTCAATGTTTGCAGTTTCCCACCTCCATGCCTCTTCACCACATTTTTAAATTGAACTGTTGGTGAAGACATACTTGTACACAGTTTTAAAAGTCCAACAACTCTACAAGGCTTATAAAAATGAGCAGCAGTCCTCTGCCCCATCAGGCACACTACTTCCAACTCTACGTTATTTTGCATTTTCCTCCACATTTCTATAAAACATGTATATATTGCCTCTGAACAGGGAAAACTAGGCTTCTGTTTTCTCGCATGTGCCACATACTACCTTTCCCAATAAAATGATTCTATAATTTATGGTTACATCAACTCAGTGCTTATGCTGTTCTAAATATCTAAATTTTTACAGCTAACTCATGCAGTATACTATTCCATTTTCTTTCTTACGATTTTTTTTTCCATTTAGTTTTCTGTGTACCTATCACTAGCTTAACCCCAAGCTCCTTGCCAACAGTTTGTTTGTTTTCCCATTCCTTAGGCAACCTTCCAGATTCACTGTTTCTTAGAGACATCCTCTCTGCTCCCATCAGGACTGTGCTCGCCTGCCACCGAGCTGTCAGCCATCACTACAGGATTTCTGTTCAACTCATTCCTTCTCAGCTTTCCTGTGTTGGATCTCCTACTTCCTGGATTCCTTGCCTTCTTTCTTTGTTTATGGCATCATTTCAGATCCTCTAGTAGCTTCCTGAGAAAGGATGCCAGCAAGGTAAAGTTTCTGAGACTTTGTATCTCAGAAAAAGGCATTAATCTACCTTCACACTTGGTTGTAGTTTGGCTGGGTACAGAATTGTAGGTTGAAAATAAAAACTCCTTCAGAATTTTAAAGGCATTCTGGTCGTCACTTAGCTCCCAGGGTTGCTGTCAAGAAGCCTGCTGCCTTTCTGATTACTGATGGTTTGCTTGGAATCGGTGTTCTCCTCGCCTGACCCCCAGCTCCGAGCGCTTTCAGAATCATGCTAGCTGTTCCAAATTTTCATCACAATACGGGGCTTTTTAAGTTTATTGCGATGGGTATTTAGAAGCCCCTAAGTAAAAGAGAAGAGGAAGACAGAAAGCGCAAGTGGCAATAAGTAATAAACAGGCTAGAGAAAAAAAGCAACTATACGATGATCAGGGTCTAACATTAGTTCTCTAATAAGATTAATTACAATTACCTAACTGCCCCCACCTCCTTTGGTAATAACGCAACACTTGTGAGAGGCAAGTTTCTCTCATGGCGTCTTTACAGTCTTCACTCTGAATTTTAAGGATAACATTAAGAGCACAATCAAAGTGTAAGACTTTGGGAGAAAATATTTGCAAATCCTATATTTGATAAAGGACTTGTATCTAGAATATAGAAAGAGCTCATACAACTCAATAATAAAAAGATAAACAACCCAATTAAAAAATGAGCAAAGGATCTAAATAGGTATTTCTCTAAGAAGATACACAAATATAGTCAATAAGCACATGAAAAGAGGTTGAACATCGTTAGTCATTATGGAAATGCAAATCACAACCACAATGAGACACCACCTTACACCTACTGGGATGGCTATAATAACAGAGACAATAATAAGTTTTGGCAAGGATGTGGAGAAATTGGAACCTCATACATTACTGGTGGGAGTACAACATGGTACACCCACTGTGGAAAACAGTTGATAGTTCCTCAAAATGTTAAACACAGAGTTACCATATGACCCAGCAATTCTGTGTTGTTGTTGCTGATAGGTGCCATCCAGTTGGTTCCGACTCATAGCAACCCAAAAGGTCAGAGTAGAACTGTCCCATAGGGTTTCCAAGGAGCGGCTGGTGGATTTGAACCGCCAACCTTTCGGTTAGCAGCCGAGCTCTTAAGCACTGCGCCACCAGCAATTCTACTCCTAGGTATATACTCAAGAAAAATGAAAACATATGTCCACACAAAAATTTGTACATGAATGTTCATAGCAGCATTGTTCATAATAGACAAAAAGTGGAAACAACCCAAATGTCATATTATTCAGCAATAAAAAGGAATGAAAGAACAATTCCACATGTATTAATCTTGAAAACATTATGCTAACTACATGAAAGAAGCCAGACGCGAAAGAATTACATGTTAGATGATTCCATTTACATGAAACGTCCGTAACAGGCAAACCTATAGTGACAGAAAGCAAATTAGTGGTTACCTGAGGATGGGGGGGTTTGGAGGGAAATGGGGAGTGACTGCTATCGGGTATGGGGTTTCTTTTTGAGGTGATGAAAATGTCCTAATTGATTGTAGTGATGGTTGCACTCTGTGAGGATACTAAAACCCTGGATTGCACACATTAAATGGGTGAACTGTATGGTGAATTATATCTCAATTTAAAAAAAAAGCCAAACCCGTTGCCGTTGAGTCAATTTCAATCATAGCAACCCTACAGGACAGAGCAGAACTGCCCCATAGGGTTTCCGAGGAGTGGCTGGTGGATTTGAACTGCTGAATTTGGATTAGGAGCCGTGGCCCTTAACCACTGCGCCACCAGGGCACCCTATATAAAGCTAGTACACAGAAAAAGCGTAAGACTTGATTGATTACCCCAAGTGCCCTTTAGGCACTTCCATTTGGATGCTCATTTCATTATCATCTCAAACTCAACATGAACATTCTCTAACTTTCCAACACAGATCCACAGATACCACAGTTAACAGACGTATTTCTTTTAAGCATTGTTTTCATAATGTCATTCCCTGTTTAAAAATATACAAACACTCCCTTCTGCATGTAGAATAAAGACCACATCCCCTTTAACTAGTGCTGAAGGAACCCTGGTAGCGCAGTGGTTAAGAGCTCGGCTGCTAACCAAACAGTCGGCAGTTCGAATCCACCAGCCACTCCTTGGAAACCCTATGGGGTAATTCTACTCTGTCCTACAGGGTCGCTGTAAGTTGGAATCGACTTGACGGCAACGGATTTTTCTGGAAGGCCCTCAAGGAGAGGCCAGCCATCTCTCAGCACCAGCCCCCAGCTGTCTCAGGAGCACACCTTGTTATGTTCTCCTCTTTTCCTCAGTTCACAATGCCTTCCTAGCTCAGTGTATCTTATCCTATCTAAAGTCAACCCTTCTTTAGAATCCAATTCAAATTATTTTGCAGAATTTTCCATATTAAGCAATCATATTACCTACACTGATCTTCTCTGCCCACCTAGATAATAAACTCATTAAATGTAAGAGTCAGTATTTTATTCTTCTCAACTTCACAAACAAATACGTATGGAAGGCCTACTACTTACAGTGTTTTGTACAAAGGGGGAACACGGTATGAGTAAAACGGTTTCTGCCTTCATGAAGTTATCAAAAGGGAAAAGAAAGGTGGATGAACAACTCGATATATATCAAACAAAACACTATAAGGTCTCAAAAGGACGGAGAATCCTTACTTGGTAGTAGTAACAGGAAGAAAGACTTCACAAAAGAGTAGATCTACTATCCCTGCTTATCCCAAATGGCTATTGTAAGGGTCAAATCACGCAACATATTCAAAGCATTTTAAAAGTCCCATCCCCATGTGACATGATTGTTTTTATTTTAATCAGGCAGTTCCTTACTACCACAGATAACTAAGAACCAAAAACAGTGTTTTTAATTTGATAAACATTCAATTTTATGTACTTAGTAATCTTTACAGAGTCCAATACATACCACTGCCCCTCCACACTTCAGCTAAATGGCAACCACCTTCTCCTGGTTCCTTGCAAAACTCCACAACATCTCGACATGTAGTTTCTGGTGTTATAGGAACTTCTGTTAAAATCTGCTCATTGTTGCTCAAGAACACAGTTAATATCATCTGTAAGAAAAAAAAGATTAATAAATTAAAAATGTAACCTAGATTCACTATCATAAAAAGATTCATCTGTAAATTTAAAGTAATCCCCACCTCCCGCATACCTACAGGATTAGTTTTTGGAAATAGATAACCTGATTCTAAAGTTCATGTAGAAAAATAAAAAAAAGTAAGACAAGTCAGGAAAATTTCAAAAGATAAGAGTATTAGAAGGGAACTAGCACTACCCGATGATTACAGAGCCTCAAACAATATGGTGCTCGCACATAAACAGATCAATGGGACAAGTTAGAAAGTCCAGAAACAGACCTGATTACATATGGGAAATGGGAAATGATGAAGTAAGTATTTAAAATCATGGGAGGGAAAAAGATTATACAATGAATGATATATGAGCAATTAAGATACCCATCTGGAAAAAAAAATAAAATTGGATTCATACCACACACCATACACTAGAATAAATCTGGATCAAATATTTAAATATAAATAATAAAAGTGCTAGAATAAAACCTGGGCAAATTCTTTTATAACCTTGGAGTACAGAAGCCCTTTCTAACTATGACTCAAAAACCAGACACCATAAAAAAAGGCTGATATATTCAAGTACATCAAATGTAACAGTCTTATAAAAGCAAAAAACAAACTTGGAAATAAGTTTTGCAAAACTCATATTACAAATAAAGAGCTAATATCCCAAAACATAGAGTCTCCTAAAAACTGGTAACAAAAAGATAAAAAATCCATTAAAAAAAAAAGGCAAGGAAATGAATTAATATATCACAGTAAAAGAAATACAAATGGCCCTTACACATAAAAATACATTATCTGAAAAACTTAGAAAAAAATTGCCTGGCCTTTTTAAAAAAGAAAAGAAAGGAAAACAGAAGGAGAGAAAGTAAGAAAAGAAAATCTAGAACAAAAACAAAAAAACCTACCACTTTCGTCTAAAATCTAAAGAGATCATATTGCAAAGGATTTTTTAAATCATGACCCCTAAAGTACAATTTAAACCAAAGATTTTCTTAAATCAGAAAATATTATAAAGTATTTCTGTTTAGTCTTTCATCTTAGACCGGTCAGAAACAAAACTTGCGTTTATCCTAAAACTCTCCTCTCACAATCTCTGCTGCCAACTAAGTATAATTTTAGTTCATTGTTAAAATATTCTTTCTTATAAGTGTCCTAAATATGTAAGTTTTGAGATCAAACATCTTTAATTTGTACTGATGACCAGATTCTATGTGAACAGAATGAGTAGTCGTTTCCGAACAGCTTTCTTTGCCACCAGTCCCTCCTCAGTCTGACCCACCATGCACCACTGCCAGTTAATTTTCAAAATGTAAATCGAGGGAAATCATTCCCACTGCCCACAGTAGTCCTCCCCGACACATTTTCTCTGAGAGATAAACAGGAAGCAGGTTTCTTTACTGAGCACTTCTTAGAAAGAAATGTTGTAATGGACATGTGAAGCTCTAACTTTTCTTCCCCAAGATAATCTGACGGAGTTTAGCTCTCCACAGAAGACCTTCTGAGAAAGCCTAGATGACAGCTCCTCGTAAAGCGAACAAGATTCCTCACAGCCCACCCAGCCCTCGCCTTCCACGTGCTGGTCCCTGCACACACAGAACCATACCCCCTTCTCTCAGGCTGCTGTTGCCTCTGCCTGGAATGACCATCCCCGCCGTCTGCCTGTGAACTCCTATTCTCTCTTTAAAACTCAGCTCCTCTGCTACCGTCTCTGCAAGGCCTGGCTTCACCACCTCTTGCCAGGGAGGCTAACAGTTCCCTCCCTTGTGATGTGGTCACCCCACAGACAGAAGCCTATCACATCGCTCCAGCCAGCAGCCACACATTTCGCTTCCCTCACTAGACTCCACGCTCCTCAAAGCTAGGCACGATTCATTTTTGAATCTCGGATTTCCCATCGTCTCATCAGTACCCAGACACGGTAGGCAAACGAAAATCTGGCTGACCGAATGAATGACATACGAAATATAAAACCTCTGCCATACCCTGTACCTGCGGAGACACACACATAATCTAAGGAAAATCCAGTCTGCTCAATAAACAACCATCTTCCTTCCAGTTCTTGGCTATCATAAGCAAAGTTCTACCTTAAAAGCAATGAAATAAGTCATCTCTGCTCACTAACCCATAAATGGGATTTACAAAACAATCCAGAGGGCTTTTTTTAAAAAATTTTATTGTTGTACTTTAAGTGAAAGTTTACAATTTAAGTTAGTCTCTCATACAAAACTTTATACATACATTGTTATGTGACCCTAACTGTTCTCCCTATACTGTGACAGCACACTCCTCCTTTCCACTCCAGATTTCCCGTGTCCATTCAACCAGCTCGTGACTTCTCTACCTTTTCATCTCACCTCTGGACAGGAGCTGCCCATTAAATCTCATGTATCTACTTGAGCTAAGAAGCATACTCTTCATGAGTATCACTTTATGTCCCATAGTCCAGTCTAATCTTTGTCTGAAGAGTTGCCCTCGGGAGTGGTTTTAGTTCCGAGTTGACAGAGAGTCCAGGGGTCATGCTTTCTGGGGTTTCTCCAGTCTCAGTCAGACCATTAAGTCTGGTCTTTTTACTAGAATTTAAGTTCTGCACCTTACTTTTCTCCTGCTCCACCAGGGACTCTCTGTTGTGTTCCCTGTCAGGGCAGTCATTGGTGGTAGCCGGGTACCATCTAGTTCTTCTGGTCTCAGGCTGATGCAGTCTGTGGTTTATGCGGCCCTTTCTGTCTCTTGGGCTGATACTTTCCTTGTGACTTTGGTGTTCTTCATTCTCCTTTACTTCAGGTGGGTTGGGACCAATTGATGCATTAGATGGCCACTCGCTAGCTTTTAAGACCCCAGATGCCACTCACCAAAGCAGGATGCAGAACATTTTCTTAATAAGCTTTGTTATGCCAATTGACCTCGATGTCCCCTGAAAGCATACTCCTCAAACCCCTGCCCCTGCTACTCTGTCCCTCGAAGTGTTTGACTGTGTTCAGGAAACTTCTTAGCTTTGGTTCAGTCCCGTTGTGCTGACTTCCCCTGTACTGTGTGCTGTCCTTCCCTTCACCTAAGATAATTCTTGTCTACTATCTAGTTAGTGAATAACCCTCTCCCTCCCTCCCTACCCTCATAACCATCAAAGAATGTTTTCTTCTGTGTTTATACCTTTTCTTGATTAATTATAATAGTGGTCTTATACAGTATTTGTCCTTTTGTGACTGACTAAATTCACTCAGTATAATGCCTTCCAGATTCCTCCATATTATGTTTCACGGATTCATCATTGTTCTTTATCGTTGCATAGTATTCCATTGTGTGAATATACCATAATTTGTTTATCCATTCATCCGTTGATGGGCACCTAGGTTGCTTCCATCTTTTTGCTATCATGAACAGTGCTGCAATGAACATGGGTGTACATATGTCTATTCATGTGACGGCTCTTATTTCTCTAGGATATATTCCAAGGAGTGGGATAGCTGGATGGTATGGTACTTCCATTTCCAGCTTTTTAAGGAAGCGCCAAATTGATTTCTAAATTGGTTGTTCCACTTTACGTTCCCACCAACAGTGTATAAGTAAGTGTTCCAGTCTCTCCACAACCTCTCCAACATTAATTATTACGTGTTTTATCGATTAATGCTAGCCTTGGTGAGGTGAGATGGTACCTCATTGTAGTTTTGATTTGCATTTCTCTGATGGCTAATGATCGTGAGCATTTCTTAATGTGTCTGTTAGCCACCTGGATGTCTTCTCTGGTGAAGCGCCTGTTCGTATCCTTTGCCCATTTTTTAATTGGGTTATTTGTCTTTCTGTTGTTGAGGTTTTGCAGTATCTTGTAGATTTGAGAGATTAGATGCTGACTGGATTTGTCATAGTCAAAAATTTTTTCACAGTCTGTAGGCTGTCCTTTAACTCTTTTGGTGAAGTCTTTTGATGAGCATAAGTGTTTGATTTTTAGGAGCTCCCAGTTATCTACTTTCTCTTCTGGTGTTTGTACATTGTTATTTATGGTTTATATTCTGTTTATGCCACGTATTAGGGCTCCTAGCATTGTGCCTATTTTTTCTTTCATGATCTTTATTGTTTTAGGTTTTATATTTGGGTCTTTGATCCATTTTGAGTTCATTTTTGTGCATGGTGTGAGGTATGGGTATTGTTTCAGTTTTTTGCAGATGGATATCCAGTTATGCCAGCACCATTTGTTAAAGAGACGGTCTTTTCCCCAATTAATGGACTTTGGGCCTTTGTCAAATATCAGCTCATAGGTGGATGAATTTATGTCTGGATTCTCGATTCTGTTCCATTGGTCTATGTATCTGTTGTTGTACCAGTACCAGGCTGTTCTGACTACCGTGGCAGTATAATAGGTTCTAAAATCAGGTAACGTGAGGCCTCCCACTTTGTTCTTCTTCTTGAGTAATGCTTTACTTATCTGGGGCCTCTTCCCAGGGGGCTTTTAAATGCTGACATAAATGGCCTGGGAGCTACAGACTCAGGAATAAAATAGGTGATTCCTGGATCCAGTCCAAACAAGTCCAGAACTGAAGGGCTCTGCTATAACAGTTTCACTAGAACATAACTAGAATGTACTTTTATTCTTGTTTATACACATTTATTTTACACATCTAATGGTAAATAACTTCTAATAGGATTTCATGGCCTATGCTTTTCAGGATCTAAATCAATAATGTATTTCCCAAACCACAGTTTATAAATCAAAACCAAAAACCTGTTGCTATCAAGTCGACTCCAACTCATAGCAACCCTACAGAACAGAGTAGAACTGCCCCGTAGGGTTCCCAAAGAACGGCTGGTGGATAAAACTACCAACCTTTTGGTTAGCAGCCAAACGCTTAACCACTGTGCCATCACGGCCCTTATACATCAAGGTGCAAGAAATTCAGTGCCATTACTATAGTCCATCAATAACCAGTAGATTGCCCTCTTTCCCTCAGTTCTTCAGAGTCTGCTTGCATTCCTTATCCCTGACCCTTTGTGCCCACCACGGTGTCCCCTGGTGTGCTGCTGTCAACACTCGAGCCAGCGAATGTCCACATGACCATCTGTGCTGTGGATGCTCACCTCCCACCTTGCACACAACACAGCAAGCATACAGCAATGCCATGTAGCACTCACAAAGACAAGGTCTGTGATCACCTGCTTGGAAAAGCAGAGCTCTTTATGAGCACAATGTCAGAATGAAGGACGGCATGACACAATTTCAGGGTACTTTTTGAGTTACCTAGGCTTTTCAGCTAATGAATAAGTTCAATATGATGAGAGACAGGGAAGGGTAGGCAGACTGGCAGAGTAGTGAGTCTGAACATTTATTTTTAAAAGCCAAGAACTCTCAAATAACTTACCTAAAAGTCAGTAAACACACTTCAGTTTTTCACATTCTGCCTACTATATTGTTTTTAGTAAAAACCCTGTTTTCCCAATTTTGGCAAAATTCGCTTTCCCTAATCCGCATTATTAAATTAAAGCTAATTTCATTATAATCACGAGAGAATTAAAAGC